TGACCCGGGCGGCCCGGCTGGTAGCCTAGGTTATTTTTTTTTTTTTTTTTTTTTTTTTTTTTTTTTAACAGCAACCTTCCCTGGCCCGGTTGATATTAAAGGTGTGTAATGGAAACCCACCTTGTCCAGCAGACGAGTTGTTGTCTTCGGCGGCTTGCACTCCACACCGAATTTATCGCACATCTGTTCCAAGAACTTGCGGGTATCTTCTGCTGACAGATCCTCCGGCACTTTAAATCCAGCCGCTTTTTCAAGGTCCGCAATCATTGACATTCTCCTGACAAGATGAGCAAAACCGACGACATGACCACACTTGAGCATGCACACAGAAACAGTGGGTTTCGTTCCGATGCTCGAAAAGCCTTAGGGAGTAATAATAGGGAGATGAAAGACAACATTCCAATTCGCCTCAGCGACACGAGTCTGTCCTCCTAACACAGCATGACCCTCGACAAATGCCTCGACCACAAGAACAGACAGCAGGGAACAATGTTTGACCTAAGCTACCATGTACCTAGGCAACATGCTGACCAAATGCATCTTAACTGCGACTTGGCACACCTGAAATAACAGACCTGTGTTCGAACTTTCAAATTCCAATGGAATCAGATACCTCCGAACTTACCATGGGCAGGTCAGTTCGCTACCGCCCTCTAAACAAGAAAGAAGAAAAAAACTGAGTACGGATCCGGGCCGCCCGGCCGACCAGCGCCTGCCCGGGGGAGGTCCCGGGCGGCCTGGCCGGGCGGGCCGCCCGGTTGGGGGCCGGGCCCCCTCATCACACCTTCACGGCGGGGGGTTTTCGACCCCGAAATGGGTCCAGTTGTTGTTGGCAGTGCCTACCGGGTCCGACCGCGCCAAGAAAACGGCGCGTCGGGCCCGTGAGGCCTGCTTTTTTTTTTTGAGTTTTTAACGGCCCTCCGGCCGTCGATCATCCACGATCGACGGCCGGAGGGCTGTTAGTTTTTGGAGGGAAAAGCAGAGTTTTCGGAGGGCCTGAGGCAGTCCGCATCGGCTTTCGAAACGGGGCCTGTCCTCCAGCTGCCTGCCTTCGTCATTGCGTCCGAAGTTCGTCGAAGCAGCTGGGAGTCCCATCGCCTGGGAGAGCCGTCACCCGTAGCCCGTCGCCATCGCCTGGGAGAGCCGTCGCCCGTAGCCCGTCGCCATCGCCATCGCGTTCGCTGTGACCCGTCGCCCCCCGTCGTCCATCGTCGTGCTGCTCCCTGCCAGCATGAACTGCCGCCCGTCGACGAGGACTGCCGGTCTGATCTTCTTCTTCTTCTTCTTCTTCTTCTTCTTCTTCTTCTTCCCTCCTCCTCCTCCTCCTCTTATTCTTCTGCTTCTTCTTCTCTCCTCCTCCTCC